ATGAAAACATTTTTTTTTCAATATTTTTTAAAGGACACAGAATTGTGTGGACAGGGAATAGATGTGGGTCTGGGAAGAAAAAGATGATGGTGATAAATATGATCAAAATACATCCCTAGTCAGGAGACAACAGTAAAATCAACTCCTACCTGTCTCTTCAACAGTTTGTTCCATGATCTGGTTATGACATTTCTTATCCTCCACTTTTTAAGCCAACAGGTAGCCAAGGCAGTGATATAATAAGCTCAAAATTTGAAGCAGGAAGTTGGGCACCTGTCTATTCTCTCTTTAAATTTGGGGCTAAAGAGCCTGAGATATCAGGTGCCACCTATGTAAGTAACTAGCATGACTACCCAACCTTCACTCACTGAGTCTCTTGACCTGTGCAGGCATGTGGACAAACCTACATTAGCAGAGGAAAAGTCCCCACTCCTTTATGCTGTGTGAACAGACTCATTCTTACTACATTTCTCCAGAGAGGATAAGGGAAAGAACTTACTTATATTGAAGGTTGATTGCTTTAAAATATTCATAAAAATTTAAGGTACCATTTGAAAAGAGAGTGTGGAAAGTATAGGACTATGAGAGAAAACTAAGACCTGTCTGTGATTTGATTGATGATTATTTTAGTGAATCAGTTTATAGTTTTGTGAAAAGTTGATGAATCAAGACACCATTTGTTCCAGTATTGATTTTTTATTATCCTCAATTAGTCTTGCTCTATTTGAAGACAGACTTTTTAAGGTTATATCTATATAGCAAGAAAGCAAGAGTTCATTTAAACAGTTTCAATAACCAGTTAGCCAACTTGGGATTTATATGAAATGTGCAAAGAAAAAGCAGGAAAATGAAGTGAATTATAACACAGGTGTTGAAAATAGCTATGCTTTTTAGTTGTGTGACAACCATGTGGTCACAGTATAAGTGAATAGAATTTAAAATAGCAGCGCTTTTATTGCACAAACCATTGTAGCACACAATTATTAAAATTGATTAATACTTGGGCCAGTGCAATTTCATTATCTCTGATCGATTCCGAGGGTTGCTCTTTAACGGCTTTCACTCTCGTCCTTTCAGTTAGAGCTGCATGGATGCTGGGTTAGAGCATGGTTTTCACTGCAACTCTCAAGTGCATAAACTGCTAAATACACAAGACCACATGCATCTTCACACTCTGCTTAGAAATCCATACCTTTAGAAGATGGTTTAATACCCAAGTAGAATATTAAATAGTATTTTAATCACTCTGTGGGTTATCACAGTAGGTGTTGCTTTAGACAGGCAACAAGAAAGTAACTGCTAAGTTATTATAGGAAGGATGAAGAATCATTTGCCCTAATGCCATCTTTAGTTTAATTCAGTCAGTCAGGAAGAACCAAGAATCCTCTTGTTCATCTTCCAATAAGGCAGCAAATGCCACTGGAATTATCTCTAAAGGACTCCTGAAAGCCACATGCTGGCTTCACATTCCACGAGTTTTGCTCTCCTTCCTCTAACAGCAGTGAAAGAAACAATGAAAATCATCCCAAAAGTTCTTCATCTCAGTGTTCTTTCATAATTTTTCATCTCTCTGCTGTTTCCCATTCTTCCAAATGTGTGTTTCATTAAGGGATCCCTCAATCTTTAGGTTACAAATGAGCCAAATGTTTTAAGATGGCACAGAAAGGCCCTTATGTTCTGACTTCAGACTGGATCTCTGTGGTTCCTTCTCCCCCTATACTTCTGCTCCCCTTCTTTTTTGTCTCTCTCCCCACCAACTATACACCCTTGTCCTAAAGTCATCTCATATCCTCATATGCTCCAGTCCAGCCTCACAGAACCAAAGGCCACTTACCATATTCCAAATAAACACATACCTGAATATCTTATACCTGAACCAGTTTTATCTGTTTGTATGAGAGAGTCATTCAAATCTCATTCAAGTTTTTATCACCTACATGTGTGTCTGTGTCTGTTATTTCGAATCTTGCTAATAACTATTACTAAGGTAGTTTCCTAATTGTTGACCATATCACACTACATTGATTTTATCATTTAATTAAACACCTCCACTCATTTTTCCTAATATTTTGAGGTATTTTTAAAGTAATAATGCCATTCATGTACCTTCAAATTTCCTGTTACCCAATATTATTGCAAAAACAATTTCAATAACAGCCATTAAGTAAATGGGGAATATAATTTAGTGGTTTTTGGTTATTTAGTAGTAACTTCTACAGTTTGCAATTTATATTTTTCTGTATTTGCTTTGCATATACAGAACATACTGAATAACAGCATACCTCCAGGTAAATCTTCCCTCAGGTGATTTTTCTGGTGTGTGAACATGACAGCTTATACTTACATATGCTGTGATAGCTTCACTATCAGACTTGGTATGTGCAGTCTACTGTTAGCAGAAATTTCATTGTGTAGTACATAACTGTATTGTAATTGTGAAAATTCTCAGGTGTTGCCTTAGAATGAGTAAAGTTTAATTTCTTGCCCAGTATTGACTAGCACATCTTATCTAAAGAGGTGAAAATTGGAGCATATTAAGAGCACACTGTATAAAACTGATGGTATCTCTACCTGCGCTACAGCCTTGAGTCTGAGAAGCCACAGAAAGAATCAATATGCTCAAGGCAGTAATCATGAGAGATAAATGGGCAGCAGCGGGTGCCATTCTCCATCCATCACGACATTGTTAGAGCAGAAAATGCACTGGCCTGTAATCCATGCTGACAGTGCCTGCTGATCCAGAACCTGGTTGCAGATTTCAATAACTTGCATTTTTAAAATTCATTAAAAACTTTGATTTAGGCATTATAGAGTATTGAATACAAGAAACACTCAAGTGAGTCATTGCTTTCTCCTGTGTGGCCAGAACGTAGCATGTTCTGAGTGGTATATTCACAACTTAATGCTTTTTAAAATGCATTTTAACGTAATTTCCCCCATGTACTGTTCTCATTAAACCACATCATTTGGTGATACAAACTAGTGATGCATTATTTTCCTGGGATCATTTATCTTATTTGTCTTTATGCTTTATTTATTTGTCTCCTTGAATCGATCCAAGTTCTAGTACCATGTTTATTAATGACACACAAAAGCCAGGTGTTTCCCTTTAGCTCTGTTGCCACTGTGGAGGCTTGGGAGGAAACAAAGTTTCAGAATCCGGATAGTCTTAAATATGACTTGACAGGAGGAAAATAAACCAATAGCTTGTGCAAGAACTAAATACATTTATTCACCTCTCCCTGCTGTAAAGATCTTGAGTCTTCAAATCCAGAAAATGCCTTCAAAATGGGTCATTTTTAGTCCAAAAAATATAGGAATTTAAACTTGCTGCCTAAGAGGATCCACTTTTAGGACAACATTATACTTATGGATTTGGCCTCAACATATTGTCAAAATAAGCAAACTGTCTGTCACTGACAAATATTTAGAGTTTTCTTTTATTTTCTTTTTTTTCCCCCCGGAGTTGAGGACTGAACCCAGGGCCTTGCGTTTGCTAAGCAAGTGCTCTACCACTGAGCTAAATCCCCAACCCCTAGAGTTTTATGTATGACTTACAAAATGTTTTTTTTTTCTTGTTTGAACAACTGAAAATAAATTTACATTTATATTACTATGTGCTCTGCAGAAATCATGGCACTAATATGTTAAAGAACTACAGTTAACCTTTTGATATCTAAAATACAAAGCAAGTGAAAACTTCACAAGATGGATATTAAATAATAAAAAACAGAAGCCAAGAATCAGTGTGCTCTTTGTGTAAGTGCAGGCACATACAGCCCTCAAGTGCCTCAACTCCTCTTCTTACAATAACTACCCAAAACAAGGGAGTTATTTCTGAAACATGATTCAAGTAGTAATGGGTTATTATGATAATTCCAATGGATTCAGAGTACTGGAAACTTGTTACTGTTTTGTCAAAAACAGCAACAAAAGATAGTGTCCTGATTTCATTTAAAGTCATGTTAATGAATGTGTTTAAAGTCATTTAGTCAGATACAGAGGTTGTGGCTCCCTGGTAGCAATCCTGCTAACATACATGAGTCCTATACCATATATTCAACAGTTTAAAAATCCATTTTAGTTTATCATAAGAGACTGAATCCAGATTACCTCACTAATGGAACTGTTTGAATCAAACAAACAAAAATGAAGAGTATGCTCCACAGTATTGAATAGGCCAAGTTGAATGGCTATCACCAGTGTGTAAGCTTAGTAACTCTTTCATTGCTCTTTTATTTCCTTTATATTGAAAATAGATTCTTTTCTCATACAATATATCCTGATTAGTTTCCCCTTCCTCTACTCCTCTCCATCTCCCCAACTTTCCAGATCTACTACTGTGGTCTAAATCTTCCATTTCATGAGTATGTATACACTTTTTAAAACTCACACCTTTATAATTTAGGCATTAGGTTTTGACTTGAGCATTTTGGAATATCAGTGTATTGATGGACCATCGTGACTGTGCCTAAATGGCTTAGGATTTAGAACATTTCCTAGAATTTCTATCTGTTCTAACCCTTTGCATCCTCATCAGAGTATCATATGCCATAACTAGCAATTTGTTTTTCAGTGTAAAAATAATTCAACAAAAGTAAGAATATAACACACAGAGAGAAACATACACAGTATATTTAAAAAGTAATGCATACTTAATATAACAAATTAGTTTGATTCCTATAAGCCTAAAAATATCGTGTTGGAATAAATCAGTGCCTTGTGTAAAAACCACACATTCATGTATTATTCCAGACCCTGACCATGAAACATCCTTGAATTCTTTTTTTCCCTCCACATATTACCTTTGATTTATCAGTTATGTTTGCTGTAGTGCTTAACCCAAGTGGTAAAAATGACACTGTCACAGCCATGTGATTTACAAGACCTCGTTTGAGAATTCTGATTATCCCCATGGCAGATCTTTGTGTATTACTAAAGTTTGAACATTCAGCTTCCACCCCTTGCTGTGGTTTTCTCTGTCTCTCACTAGACTTCTTGAAACCAGAGTTCAGACTATGGTCTCCTGAAAACTCCATTCTTACGACTCAACAAGGACTATGTGCATGGAGCCTTGCTTAGTATATTAAGATGGAAAATGGCTCTACTGAGACTCTGTCACTCTTTTCGGAAAATCACAAAAGACACAGATTGCCATTGATCAGGCCTCTCAGAAATGTGTAAGTAGAAAATAGTCTTGGAAGATAACAAGAGCATTTCCTGCAGGGAAAGTAGTCAGGTTTGTTTACACCCTTGAACAGATGAATACATCAGTTTCCTTGAGAGGAACAGGAAACCATACTTTCAATCAAGAAAAAAAAAAGATGTGTGTGAGTGGGAGGAGCATCTCTGGTTTCAAAACCCCATTCCTAATGCAAAAACTGCCTTTGGACGTCATGGAGTCCTCTTTCATGACATTGCATAAAATGGGGCTGAAATTACTTATGCAGAAATACTACAAAGTTTGCTGAGCAGGAATCCACTGTTTGTCCTTCACACAGAGTTTCAGGTGCTCTGTTGATATTCATGAAAACAAAGCAGGCTAACTTATCTTAAAGGTGTTATAAAATCTCAGGCCTTTCATGGATCTTGACAAATTATTCTGACGAAAAACTAGTAGGGACACTCAAATCACAAAGCAAGAAAACTTGAATTATTTGAGGTTAGGGAGAAGATTTTGATGAAATTTGAGTGCCATATACATCTTGCCTCTTAGATTAATAGCTAGGTGTCCACTTATCCACAGACACTCCACCCCTTTCTAGTCCAACCATATACTGGACAAATGTTTACTATCTGGCTAATATAGAAAGGACAGCTGGCCCTTTCTCCAGACTGTCTTTGTTCCTGATTTGGAGTTATCTTCTAAAGCACGTGTCTAGTCTAGGGATTCCTTCATGCATCACTTTGTGATCTTTTACTGTAGTCAGTACCTACTTTTTACAACCTCATGCCGAAATCATCCATGAAATCATTTACTTCCCAAGACTTAATCATTTACAAATGTATTGTTTTTGAAGAATGCATCCTTACCAGCCATATTGATTTATTTCTCTTTGTTATTTCTTCCCTGCACACTTTTGTGTATCCTTTCTGAAAGTCAAACTATACAGCCATGTCTTCCTTTATCTGTCCCTTTCCTCCATGCAGGGCACACTTCTGAAAAACCCCACCTCTCCTCCACCTCCCTGCACATCATTCTCTACAGTGTTTCCCACTTGGTGCTTCATTTTACAATTATTTATAAGTAAAAATGATCCTCATAAGACTGTTAAGTTGTTATGGGATGTATACCTTTTGCTTTCTGTATTTTGTATTTAACAGAATACTGTTTCAGAAAAGAGAATAACAGAAAAAGAAAGAAATTGCAAAAAACCATGCGCTGAGAGATAGGTCACAAAGTGGATTACAAAGGACGGTGGCCAGTGAGATTCCATCATTGGTGAATGGCTGGAGACTTTTTTACAAAAAAACTAAGCAATAATAACAACAACTAATAATCCTCCTCATACTCATCACTTAGTCTCTGCGACTCAAGTCCAAGTAAAGAAATGAACCAGTGCTAAGAGGAACCTGAATACGACTTGTGATGGTAACCTATCAGGTGTTATTTTTTAATAGGAATATTTATTTAAAAACAATTGCGGCTGAAGAAATGGCTTAGTGGCTATGAGGCTTAGAGAGTTAGAGGTAAAATGGTTGGAGGTTTGCTGCTTTTGTAGGGAACCCAGGTTGGGTTCCTAGCACTGTAGCTACAGCCATCTGGAATTTCAGTTCCAGGAAATCTGGTGCTGTCCTCTGGCCTCTGTGGGTACACAGTAGTACACAGACATTCCTGCCGGGGAACACCCAAACACATGAAATAAAAGCAAAGCATTTTTAGGAACAACAATGGATACCCTTAAATTAGGAAAAGATATTCCTCACAGAAGGGTGTAGTTTTGAACTGCTTTTCAAAACCCTGGTTCAAAACCCTCATTTCGTATGTTGAGAAACATACTGGAATTTCTTAACTCTTGATATTTTATATTCATACAATTTGGAAATTGAACATTATATAGGAATTTCAGTGCTATGTTAAAAATCAGAGAGGGGAGGTTTAGATCAATACAACATATTATACCAAATAACAAAGATGACATTGAGCAAGAGAGAGCACAGAGGAATCTGGAAAGGGCTTCTCAATAAGCCAGAATTAATAGCCTATGACAGAAAACTCAACAGAATGTATATGGCTTGTTCTAGAGAAATACAGTAATGTTTTTCCACCTTTACTATGTGCCCATATACAGTGGGCAAGATACATTTGAAATATTAAGTTAAATTAAAATATGCCATCTAGATATGCCTTAGGTAGTTACAAGGGAATAACTGGTGTTTTATTGAATTAGCAAACTTATCAAGTTAATAAATTAGAGCTTTTAAATTTATGTAGCAGCTTGAACTACAATATTGGTACAAACTGATCTTACAAGTTGTTCCCCACAGACTAGAGTTAATATGATGAAACCAGAGAAGAAAAAGAGAGAAAACGCCCACACTTATTTTATTTTTATTGAGAGTAAAAACCACCTGCACACATTTCTGTTCAAAGAAAATGGTTCAGTTTCATTTTTTTTTCTATCACAGACAGAAATATATTCCAAAGAATGAAAGAGCTTCTTTTATTTCTTGTTCTGCCAAAATTTGACTTGCATATTTGGGGACCTGTTAAAGTGCTTTAGGTGATTCTGAGAGTTTATAAAAAGGCAATTTGATCCCAAATCATAGCTTTCTTTATTTCTTGTACTGAGCTGCATACCCTTCTGAGAAGTGAGCCATGAGGGGAAGACATTAGCTTCCCTTGTATTAGATAATAAAAAAGTTCCGCAAGGGATGAGTTCCATATAATGACACTGTGAATATGAGGCTCATTTGGATTTAATTCATTACTACATCATGTTGCACAAGAAAGCAATTTTTAAGCAATAGAATTGCACTTCATTTGTAAAGGACCCAGACACAGCACACAATCAGCCATTGAAGACAGAAACTGATTTCCCAAATCAGACATAGAAAATTTAATATATTTGTCCAGTTATAATGAAAAGGAAGAGAACTTCAATTTTTTTAGATAAGTATATCACTTTGTATATTTTGAAAGTGTAATTTTCTTGGGCAATTGACTACATGTTGATGCCATGAACTGAATATACTGGAGAAAATGATTGCCTTTCATAAAATATTTGAAAACATTGTTAGATACAATAAATGTAATTTAAAATTGTATCTTTCTACAAGTTGAGTATTTCTACATTAAAACAAAATCCAAAAATACATTAATTAATGAAATAAAGGTAACCATTAACATGTTTTTAGTACTAAGAATTCAAGCCAGGGTTTTATGCATGCTAGCCAAGAGCTTTACTTTTAAGCTACCATGCCAGCCTCTTAAAAAATTCAGTTTTGATAGGAACTTCCAGGGCTGGTAGGCAGGCCTAATATCCACCATTTTTCTGCACCAGTTTCTCCTGAGTTAGAGTACATTTGTGAACAACTACACTTAATTGAGCATAACAAATTCCATGTCAATATTCAGTTTACTTCTAAGGGCTCATAGTTTAAATTATTCTGAAATGATACATGATTTTTTTTTAATCCAGGTAAAATTACTATTTTAGTTAAGTTCCTTAAATCAGTACAGATTTAACCTGTCTTCTACAGAGGAAAAAAATCAACAAGAGTTGTAAGTGGTGTGTGTGTGTGTGTGTGTGTGTGTGTGTGTGTGTGTGTGTGTGTGTGTGTGATGTTTCCTTCATCTCTTTTGTAGATTTGAACTACTTACCAAATTTACTTCCCATCTAGAAAAATCTGTTGGGAATTTTCAGTGAATAAAATAGAATATTTAGTTTGCTTTGATAAACTTTGCATAATCTATTTTAAACACATATTACTCTGTTACCTGTAAAGCATCTTTATGAGATTATAGCATTAATATCTTTGGTAGAAAATTTCAAGTATCTTGCTTGATTTCTACAGCTTTGAATTTTCAGATTTTAACTTTTAAATGATGGAGCCTGACATTTGAATCTTGATTTCCTTGACTGTTAAAGAGAAAAGAATATTCATCATTATTACTCTCCACTTGCTGAACCTCCACTTTACTCTGGTTAGTATTATCATTATCAATCCCTGTTTTGTTTGTTTGTTTGTTTGTTTGTTTTTCAAGACAGGATTTCTCTGTGTAGCTTTTTGCCTTTCCTGGAACTCACTCTGTAGCCCAGGCTGGCCTCAAACTCACAGATTGGCCTGCCTTTGCCTGTTCACTGAAGAAATGATTTTTTTAAATCTCTTTTTATTAAATCTGACTGATCTTGCTTCTGTTTTGCAATGACTATAATAAAAAGATGAATGTAAATAAAAACACATTATAATCAGTTCATAAGAAAAAGTACAAAAAAAATGTGACTACCTTGAAGTTAACCAAATCCCAGGACAAACAGCTGACTGAGTCAGTCTAGAGATCTTGATGAATGGGATGAAACTATCTCACTGACAGTATGGCACCAATACAGTGTACATGTAGAGTCCCAGCACTGGGTTGCAGGGACAGGAAATTCATGAGTTTGAGACCAGCCTGGGAGACATAGTAAGTTCTAGGCTCTTCTGTGTTGCACAGTAATACTTGAGGGAGTAAGAAGAGTGAGAAAAAGAGACACAGGATGAAGAAGAGCAGGGAGAAGAGGAAGGAGGAAGAAGAAGAAGAAGAGAGGGAGAGAGAAAGTGACCTTTCAGGATAAAACAGGAAGCCAGTAAAAACTGATGGCTTCCCCGAAGCTCAGCTGGACCATAGTAGAACTTCATATGCATATTTATGAAATAAAAACGTCCTCCAACTTAAAAATCAATTTTGGGTACAGGCTGTAAAAATTTGCATAAAATGTATGAAAATAAAAAGAATAGTTATGCATATACAGATAGTCTTTATTTAAAATTTCACTAAGAAATTTGAGTAATCAGAATGTTATTTTAATTTTCCAACAATTGAAATGATAATGAGCAGGAAAGAAAGGTTTATCAAGGGCATCCATGTGCTGGCTCTATGATCTTTAATGAAAGATTATTGAGCTCATGTCTAATATGATGCAATGTGCTAAATTCACTTTTCTTCCTCCACTATACAAAGCAGTACAGTCCTAAGCCATTGAAGTATGTGGAGTGGAGGGAATAGAGAAGGGGTGGGAGCGGAAACAAATACAACTGATGTGACATCAACAAACGAGCTCTGATAGAACTAGCACTGGATCATACTTTGTAGGCAGCCAGTATTTGAGCAAGTCAAGGGGAAGGCATTACAGACAAAATCACTGCTTTCAACAACCCTCATTCACCTGAAGAGTAAGTGGGACTTTAACTCCTATAAGCTCCGTGAGTTGCATCCAATCAGTGAAAAGTAGTAATATCATTCTGCATGACTTAAACAATTCTAAGTTAAGCAATGCTTTATGTAAAGTTCAGAGTAATGAGAGTCTCTGCATAATTAAATTATAACTTCCTATGCACATTCGTTTTGTGATTAAATTTAAGACAATGTATGATTGTAATGTGGAGAGCTCAATGGTGGAATATATAATTATTTCCTTAAGAAACCATCATTTCTTTTTCTGGTGAATTCAGTTATCATTTGAATAGATTGACTCACGACACTGGTCATACATTTATGCATTTTTCTTTAATTAAAATAGTAGTGCCTTTATGCTTTCTTCATTTATCCTGACATTTCTGCTATCATTTTCTGTAATGCAGGATGTTAAAAGAAAAAAAACAACAGAATGAGAAGGGTGAAGAAAAATCAGTCAATATGTTAATGAAATTGCTAAGAACAGGAAGTGGAAAGAAAGCTCTGGACTAAGGAGAGCAGTGGCAAATAAGGGCAAGAATGGGACTTTGTCCAAAACCAGGGAAAACGAGACCTAGCCTCCTGTTGGTCAGAGGAGAAATGTGCCACTGACACCCAACTCTTTCCAGCTCTTTTATAACCCAGAAATTAAACCAATGGGGGCTCATGAAGAAATTTTCTGCTCTCATTTATAAACGATTATGTGTAAGTGAATTCTCATCATGTGATCTAGCACAGAGCTCCAATTGGAATAAGACTGCAAATCTTCCCTTCTGTACTCTGACTATGAAGTAAGATCTGCTAATGTGTGTAACTGAAAGGGCTCTGAGGAGGTTTGAAACAGTGGTGAAGAGTGTGTGACTCTTGGGTACAGGAAAGAGGAAAGCACAGGAATTTAAGTGTGCTGCACATTTGTCATGGCTTCGGGTCGTGTCCTTAAATCACCGACACCTAACTGAAATGGTCCTGGTAAGGTTTACCTGGTACAAAAAGTATTATCTCACACACAAAATAATAAAATCAATGAGTTACTAAAATAAAGTGAAAGATAATGGAAAGAAGGAGATAAAGGGTAGCAAGATGACGCAATAGTTAAAAAAAAAAAAAAACTCAAGTTCTAACCCAGTTCCTGACAGGCGGCTCATTACCTCCTGAACTCTTGTTCTGGGGGATCCAAAGCCATCTTCCGGCCTCCGTGACCATGGCACACACAAGCACAAACCCATGCTCAGACACACGTGCATGTACACAATTAAAATATTTACTTTAAGAAAGAAAAGTAAGTGTGAGAGGGAAGATGATCTTTAAAAATACATTTAAAAAAACTGAAAATAAATGGGATTTGAGAACCAGCTTCCAGTTTTCATACTAAATAAAATAATTACTAGAATACTACTGTCTGAAACATCACAGTTGATTAAGTTTCTGAGAAACCTCTCAATTGTCACCATAATGTTGAAGATACTTTCAGTATTTTCAAAAGTTTCTGAATAGTTAATCCCCATCTAAGGATAAAAATGTTTTGCATACATTAATAAAGATTACTTTATAGTGTAACCTCACATATATCTAACTTACTGTATCAAGGCAGATAATAAATTAAAAAAACATTGCTTATATTAAAAAATGTAAACATTTAAGTAAGACAAATTTTTTAGAGTGCTTTATCTTATTGTTCAGTGTATTTGATAACAAAATGGGTCTACAGGAGGGATTGCATGATACAGGCTCTGTGGAGAGGAAAATGGGCGCAAGTTGGGTAGACTGAGGCAGCTGGAGGGAGGCAATACTGAGGCAAAGGGTGGGAGGAAAGAAAATAACATTGAGAATGTTTGAAAAAGTCATAAGAAAACATAGTTAACTAAAAATGCACACATATGTAAGTATATGTGTATATACACACTTATATATTTGTACACACATACATACATACATGTATGTATGTATATATATATATTCAAAGGGAGTTACAGTACTTGAGATGATAATATTTCCTTCAAGACACGTAAGCTATCTAAAACAAAATAAAACAAAACAGACAAACAATAACAGAACAGTGCTATGAATGGAAATCCTCTTTTCACGTTATTGATCAGAGAAGCACAAAATTCTTTCAAAACAATGTAGGTTATTTCCTGCCCTCTGTCACTGCCGATAACTAGAAGGGAAGACTGTTTGAAGACACCACACACTTGAGAAATAAGACATGGAGGAATTGAGCTGGACCTCGTCTGGAAGCCTCCTCCCTGCGGACTAGCTCCTATAGTATCAGGAGTTGCTATGTAAGCTGCCAGGGAGAAAAATCAATCAATAACCCTCCCATCTCCAAAACCAACAAACTACAACAATGACCAGCATGGCAAGGTATCCCAAGTGCACTATAGTGGCTCTTGTATTCAGGAGAAACCAACAGATTCTAATAGTACAACTATTAGAATAGGGCCACTCAATAGGAAATAATTAATGTCTAATATTATAAACCTAACTATCTACCTATGGCTGATAAGAGCACTAGCTGTTGAGAACTTACTACTGCCCTCTTCCCAAATTTATATAGTCATTCCTAACTGCATTCTAACTGCCTTCTTGATGCGTCTCCTATACCCACAGGGAAGTGTACATTTCAACCTTCATGAAAGCATTTTCTTTTTAAAGCAGAGAGATACTTACAGAAATCCACGATTGGACAAAATGTAGAGAACAATGGAGTATCCAATCCAAATTGCTACATCTACAGCACAACCCCTACTATACCCAAGATTCAGGAAACATTGGAGGAGAAGAGGCAGACAGATTGCAGGAGCCAGAGGACCAGCATCTCTTCTGAAAGACAGGGCTTTCTGCATGTGACAGGGAAACTGCACCCACAAAGACTCAAGGACGTGGTTGCCTAACAAGGTTGCATTACCAGCTGACATGTTAATGAGGATGGGGAAATTTCACGAGGTCCTGCCCCTAGATGAAAAATCTGTAGGCAATTAATAATGACTAAGAGAGGGAGAATTAGTCCTTCCCAGATGAACATCCTAATAAGTTATCCAATCTCGAGTTGTGAACTCAAAATATATGTACATATGAGCTACACAAAATGGAATTAGTAAGTGGTGTGTGTGTGTGTGTGTGTGTGTGTGTGTGTGTGTGTGTGTGTGTATGAAACAATAATAATCAAAGTGTTCATGATTTTGATAGGGGGATATGGGATAAGTTGGAAGGGCTAGAAAGGGGTAGAAATGATGTAAATACAATAACCATGTTTGAAATTATAAACAAAAGGCAAAATTTAAAAATGCACCTATAAAATAAACTAAGAAAAGTGCTGTACATATTGCATTCTATTTTTCTATTATAATATTTTGTTTCTGAACCTGTAAAATCCAGGGGGATGGATTCCTTAGAAAGTTGTTCATATAAACAAAAAGAAATACAAATGAAGTCAATTAACATATGAAAAAACAACAACTTTATTGCTGGTCTATCAAAAACTACCAGTAATGAGGACCTAGAAGGCTGGTGGTTCTGCAAGGCACTTTCATAACACAAAGTAAACAACTAAATTAAACTCTCTGAAGTAGTTATTTGCTTCTAGGCATTTATGGAGAAAATAATAATTAAATAAGAATACAAACATTTATCGCTAAGAATGTTTGGAAGAACTTAAACGATCCTCTATAAGTAATCCCTAAGAAAATTCCTTACACCTACTGCACTTCACACCAAGCAGTATGTTAGTGTGATTATTTATATTTACATTCATTTACCTGACACATTGTTCTAAGTATATTTAGTTGAAGATACATCTAAAGTAGTTACCAATTAAATATATGTGGCACAATGCAATTTAGTTGATTGATAGTTAAAGGTAAAAAGAGTTACTTCTTAAAGATACTAGAATGGGTTATTTTGGGGTGATACTTTATAACATAATAACATTTGTATATGCTGTTCTTATATTTATGCAAAATAAAAACAGTATGAGACATAATTAGAGTACAACATGCTTCTCTTCCATCTTATATTTTATGGTATCTAGATTGTCAAAAGGCAAGGAAATTCTTGAATTAAAATATACACTCAGGATTAAGATAGTGAAATGGCCACTCCACCAAGCACAATCTACAGGTTCAATGCAATCCTCATCAATAGTCCAAGACAATTCTCATAGAGCTTGAACGGATAATTTTCACCTTCACATGGGAACACAAAACACAGGGTAGTAAAAACAATCCTGAATAATAAAAGCACTATTGTATCAACACCCGGATCTCAAATTGTACTACAGAGCTATAGTAATACAAACAGTATACTCTTAGCACTGGACCAGATATGTTGATCAATGGAACTGAATTGAAGACTCAGATGTAAGTACATACGTTAGGAACATCTGACTTCTTTTTTTTTTTTTTACAAAGACGCTAGATACATTAGAAAACCAATAACATCTTCTACACAAATGGTACAACCCAAATTAAATGGCTGCATGAAGAAGAATACAAATATATCACCCTATAACATAAGACAAGGTACAATGAACCTGATGGAAGAGAAAGTAACGTGTAGCCTTGAACTCTTTGGTACAGGAAAAGACTTTTCTGAACAGGATACCAATAGGATAGGCACTAAAACCAATAATAGTAAGTAGGAGCTCCTGAAACTAAAGCACTTCTATATGGCAAAGAACACCATCATTCAGGTAAAGTCACAGGCTACAGACTGGAAAAAGATCTTTACCAACTACACATCTAATAGAGGCTGGGTATCTAAAATATATAAATAATTAAAAAAAACTGGACATCAAGAAATAACTCAGTTATAAAATGGGGTATAGAATTAAGCAGAGAATTTTCAAAAGATGAACACAAATGAGAAGCGTTTGAAGAAATCAATATCCTTAGTTATCAGGGAAATATAAATCAAATCTACTTTGAGATTTTATCTTATACCAGTCAGAATGACCAAAATCAACAGAATAATGAGAGCTCACACTAGCAAAGATGTGGAGTATGGGTAACACTCACCCATTGCTAATGGGAGTACAGACTTTAATAGGCACTGTAGAAATGAGTGTAGCGATGCCCTAGGGAGCTGGTAACATCAAACATAAGATCTAAGATCTAGCAATATCATTTTGGGGACTATATCCAAAGAATATTACATCCTCTTGAAGAGATATATGTTCATCCATGATTATTGCTGTCCTATTCATAATATCCGTAAGTTGGAAACAGCCTATATGCATATGTAGACTTTTGTTTCATATTGCTTATTTAGGGTTTTTTTTTTAACCTTACAGGTCTTTTGCTTGTACATTATGGGTTCTAATTGGATAGGATTCTGGTGAGTGTGTGTGTCTATGTATGTGTGTGTGTGTGTGTGTGTGTGTGTGTGTGTGTGTGTGTGTGTGTGTGTTGAGTTTTTCTTTCTGTTTTTATTCTGATTTATTTGCTTTCTTAAGAGAGGGAAAGAAAGGACACCAAGTTGTGTAGTTGAGGAGGTGAAAATTATCAAGGAGGAGTTGGGAGAGGGGAAACCATGATCAGAATTGCTGCAAGTCGCAGGAAAACGTAATGGAATTCAGCTACTATCACAAAAGCTACTACTTGAAAAGTCAAGGACTTCTCCAAAGGTCAAGCCATGGCTTAGGAAGTCTCAGTG